AGAGCTGCAATGGCCTCAGTAGGAACAGCATGGTCTGGTTCTTTTCTATTCTCGCAGTTGCCACCAAGTGGCCCTGTCGTCAATACCATTCAATAATATTTCTCTCAACAAGCGAATGCTACACTCACTCTTTCTGGTAGTTGAGAAATATCCAAAATACCATTTTTACATAAAAATTCAAAATTTGTGTGGTAACATAATTAGGTGCTGGAAATTTTATAAAAATTTTTGGTTTGAGCCTTGAGCATAGAGATATATCTCCTCTATAAATAAAACAAGTGATTGATTTGATTCATTCGCCAATAAACGTTTAATCTTCACTAGAGCAATACTTATACCCGTGCAAAAGGTGGTAAACTCCTCGGTAAACAATTTAAAACATGTGCGATTGTAAACGTGACGCCGCTGATTGGTCGTTGTTGAATGTTGTTGACATTGCTTGTGATTGGTCGCTCACGATTATTAAAACGCTTATTTTTTAGTTTTAACACAAATTCTCTGGTTCTTGGTTGTATTATAGTTCGATTTATTCACCCGGTTGCTAAAGGCTGCATGTCGCCACAATCGGTCACCCGGTGTACTCCATTGCGAATATACATGACCGGGCGAAACTCGTGACGGGTTGTTATAACTCTCCATTGCCTTCACCTATGACCGGTAGAAAGCGGCTGATATTGTACAACCGGACGAAAAAATTATAACGTAGTATGATAGGTGACAGGTAACGTTAATGATTACCGCTCCTGCTCGTAACGGCCGCTAGGGCCTACTCGTCAGTGTAGCGAACGCAGTCAAGCGTAACATGACGACTGGTATTATACAGGTTAGGTGACAGGTTGAAAGAACATGTTTTACGTCACGTGGTAGCGGGGGGTAGATGGGTTACAAGTCTCTTCATCAATGCAAAGTAAATTATGGAAAGAGATAAGGAATCAATCTATGGAAAATGAGCCAATATGTCAGCCTCCATGGCCTCATACTCATAGTCATAACCTCATAAATATTGCCTTCACAGTCCAAGGAACTGTATCGAAGACGGAAGGAGAGAAAGTTGACCAAATTGACAGAGCAACACTCTGGGTCGCAGTTCATGTTGTTTGTGCACGCAGCACAGCACGGGCGTGCGTTCGGTGTACTAGCTTGTGTGTTGCAGATGGGCATTTGACCGGCATTTACAGGTGATTATAGGCAAAATAGAGTAGAGAAACATTAAGACTTTGGTACATTTCGTGTTTATTTACCATTACCTGTAACGGGCCAATCAGCCTATCAGCGAGCAGGCTTTTGCCTGACGTCATTTCTCAAGTTATTCAAGTTGAATTTATAACTATTAACTGCAATTATTGCACGCTTCTGCCAAAGCCATTAACTAGATTGTTTCCATTCACCAGGTATTCGCCTGGGGCGAAGTTTTGCCGTATTTACTTTTGTACGCTCGACAGTCTGCAGCCGGATATACGCGCGAAGCGCGCAAACGCCGCGCAGCGGTGACACAATGACTTAATCGCTGCCCTATATTTAGAATACTTTCACGAGGCCATTCTTGGTATAGGATAAAGCCGTATAATCGGTCAATTGAGCAGTTCTGGCCA